GGGACACCGTTCTCCTGTGCCCCCCGGGAACACCCCGCTCTGTGCCCCCCGGGACACCCCCGGCTTTCTCCTCCTGGGGATGCCGCCCTCCTTTCCCCCCGGGACACCCCGCTCCTGTCCCCCCCGTTGGGGGACTCCCCGGTGCTTCTCCCCCGGACCGTGCCGGGGTTTTCACTTCAGCAGCACGGACGGGTGGCTCTGAGATCAGCTCCCAGCGAAGGGCTGAGCTTTCTTTCCCTGGGCAAAGCTCCCGCTGCCTTTGGGGTACCCCGGCAGCGCGGCTCCATCTCTTCTCTGCCGTGTTTTTTTTTTTTTCCTTGGAGCCACGTTTGCGTGTGGAACGGGAGCTGGGGGAGGAGGGCGAGCGGCTCCATGTGCGTGCCATGCCCGGCCCCGCCGTGATGCCCCGGGAGCCCGGAGCTGCCGGGTCATTCCCGTCCCGCATCCCGGAGCCGCCCCCGGGCGCTGGGCGAGGATTCCCAACCGCTGTGTGTTGGGGATTATTTCTGGTTAGACCCAATTAGATTATCATGTCTAAGAAAAGAATAAGCCTATTCAGTCAGGAACCCCCACTGACGAGCCAAATGGCGAGTGAGATGTTACGATTATTAGGCGCAGTGGAAAAAAAGCCCGGTGTCGCGTTGCTCTTGTCGGGGATGGGAGATGCTCCCGCAGGCAGCACACGGCTCAGGATCCAGTCTGGATTCATCTGGGACTACCAGAAGGGCTCCTGGCCCCGTGTGCCTGCGCGCTCTGCGGGAGGAAATCGGTGGCTTTGGGTTAGGGGATGGTGATGGATGGGATCTGTGAAAGGCAGAGACGTCACTCGGGGCAGCCTTAGAAACGTGTAACGTAAATACGGGAGATAACAGCACCCAGCCTGTCGTTTCCTGAGGTGCTTGGAAGGTTTTAGAGGTGGACTTCAATTCAGGCTGGGAGGATGAGTGCTGCAGCTTTGCTGGAGGGAGAGGCTGGCCATGCGGGTGGGCAGTCCCTACAAATGTGCTCTGGGACGGTTTTCCCCCACCTTGGGGAGAAGCTGCGAGATGGGACCAAACAGCCCCAAAAATCACCTTCATGCTGTTCTTGCAGCCAGCCGGGCATGGCTGCTGGTGTTGCTGCAGCTTCCAGGAAATCTCTGACCAGTTAATGAAAGAATAAACTGCCGGGCTGTGATTATTTTGTTTTCTCTGTGGCTCTGAGGGAGAGATGACTGTGCCACTGCTCAAAGCCCAGAATGGGGTAGGCTGGAGAAGTGCAGGGATTAACGAGAAAGGAATGATCAGGGGAAAAACCATGAGGAATATTTTCTGTGGGGAGAGAGGATTAGTCAGGAGATGGGAGCATGAAGAAGGAGATGCTGAAGGTTGTAAGACTAAATCTCACCTTCCTTATGTGCTGTCTTAAGAAATTAGCCTGGCACGGGCGTTGCTGGCACACTCCGAGCCCTGGTGAGGTCCTGAGGGCTGTGCTGACAATCCCAATTTCCATATCCCTGCTGAAATTCCCAAGGCTGGTCTGGATGTTGATGAACACAGTGAGTGGCTGTGTTCAGGTTTCCCTCCTCACAGTGGGAGGGTTGTGCCCACTCCTGTGTGGGAGAGGTCCCTTCTGCGTGTTTGGAAGTTTTGTTCTCTTCCAGAGCAGGGAGCCCTGGCCCTCCAAACCACCAGGAGAGCACACTTGGGCCATGATTTCACCCTGAGTGCCATGACACCAACTGGTTTATGTTTTCCACCTCAAACACGCTGTCCTGAGCTGGTCCAGCATCTCTGGAGTCCCTTCAGCGAGGGGATGCTGTGCCTGGAGGGGATGGATGGGTGCCAGCTTGTGTTTGCTGGGCTCTCAGAGGGTTTTGTGTTGAGAAAGGGCTCTGCCTTGTCCACCTCCAACACACACACCTGGTCACCTCCAACACACACACCTGGTCACCTCAAACACACACCTGGTCACCTCACACACACACCTGGTCACGTTGTACACACACTGTCACCTCCCTGCCTCCTGATCCTCCTTGAGGTGCAGAAATTGCAGGAGATGATGGGCACTGCTCCAGGTGATGTTTTTTTGGGTGAAGTTCTCCAGTCTGTGCTCCCTGTGCCCTTGGTGTTCCTGAGGTGTCCAGAGCCAGCAGAGGGACAGGGATGCCACTGGCTGTGTCACTCCTGGTGGCCTGTTGGGCAGTAATCAGGGTTCTCCCCGTGGCTCTGCGTCTCCTGGTGCTGTTTTTGGCACTGCTGTAGGAAATGTGCTGCCGTGGTTCGTGTGCTGAGCCTGTGCTGGTGGGGCCTGGGCTCTGTGGGTGTGCTCCAGGAGGATGCATTTGTTGGGATGTACTTCAAGGAGGAAAATGTGCAGGACAACCCAAGGAGAGATCCAGCTTTCAGTCTGTGAGCCGAGTGCTGTTCCTTCCATCCTTCAAGCTGATGGGAATTCTCCCCTTTTCCTGTGCAATGAATTCCCTTCCTCTCAGGGTTACATGAGAGTGGGAACTCCAGGGAAGCAGTGGTGTGGCTTTGCCACCGAGTTCCCACTTTGGCTGTGCTGGGTCTCAGCTCTGGCTCTGAGCTTTGGGAACGTCCCAGCCTTGTCCCTTCCCCAGTGCTCTCTTCTCCTCAGCTCTGTGGGATCTTTCCCTACACACACGTGGGCGTAAATCCTGAATTCTGGTGACCACCCCACGTCTGCTCAGGGCAAACCCCAGTTCGGCAGCCCGGGGGTGCCACAGACACGGTGGCACCGGAGCTGGGAGCCCTGGGAGCCGATCCCAAATTTGCAGCTCCTGCAGCAGGGTGGTCTCCCTCGGCACGTTTGCAGATGCCACGTGGTGTGGAGGAAGCAGCCAGGCCGGGCTTGGCAGGGGAAATCGCTGCCTAATGAGCTGTGATTGACATAATTTGACTGCTGGATTACAAATCTGCGGTGAGGTGAACAGGAAATATCCTCTCCCCCCCTCCCAGTGGGGTTTGGGTGCACAAAGGGCTCCTCTGTGCCCCTGCTGTGGGATGGAGGGCTTGGCCAGAGGGTGAGGGAGGTGTTCCTGCCATCCCCAGGTGAGGCACTACCTGCTCCTGCCTTGCCCACAGGAGCATCTCCCTTCTGCTGGAATTCCCTCCTTGCCCCTGGATTTTGTCCCAGCGTCGTTTTCCATCCCAGGGAAGGCAGCTTGAGCGTCTCCTGCTGAAGAATTTGGAAGCTCAGTGTGAAAACTCGAAATGTTTCCCAGCTGTTCCCCTTCCTCATTGTCTATCAGCTACATTAGGCATTGTTTTATAAAATATATAAGTATTTTAAACCATATGTATGGTTTAGGGTCTGCAAATCGTTACGGAGCACCGGGGGGCTGCAGGAGATATCTGTGGGATAGGATCAGCCTCCCTGCTTTGGTGGGGCACTGGATTCCTTGTTGTGATCCCTAAATTTAACAGGATTCCCTTGGGATGGGTTTGAGTCGAGATCCTGAAGCACCGATGCAGGTGGGAGTGGTACTGGGAGGTGAGAGACACTAAGGGGGCTTTGGGAATCTTGAGGAAAATGAGATTTCTAAAGTGCAGATCTCAAGCAGACCTGTGGGGTTTCCTTGTTCCTCAGCTCTGACAGGCTCCTGCCCGTGGGGATTTTCCTCAAGGGCTCGTGAAGCGATTGGGGCAGCGACACTTTTGCTTGAAGAAACAACCTCATAAATCACATGGTTAAATATATTTATATTTCACAGGGTTTAAATGTACAGCAGTGCTGGGTGGTGACACTTCTGCCCAGCTGCTTTGGCAGTCAGGGGATGGCATTTGTAAGTTTTTCCACCCAGACATCACAGGAGAACATTTTTATAAAACTGATTTTTTCCTTTGAGTGCTGGAATAGGAGGGTCCTGTGGTGGGTATTTAGCTGGTGGTAACCCTGCTAAAATTAATTTCAGCTCCTGGAAACCTGGAAGACTTCTAAAATGGCTGGGCTGATGCAGATGCGTGTATTTTTCGGTGTACCATTTTTCCATGCCAAATAATCCCAGTACTTTGGATGATGGTGGAGGGATGAACCCTCCAAATTAAATTCTGTTTAAGGTGAACAACAACAGGTCAAGCAAACCCTCTCTGACTTTAACCCCACCTTTAACCTGCCCCATCCTCTTTCCTCAGAACACTGAAACTTTATCAAACATCTCCATCAACTTCCTTAACCTTGGGTGTGAGATAAAGAGCTTTTTATGATTTTTGTTCTGTCTGCATGAGCAAGGTCGTGCCAGAGCTGTCCCTGAGGTGTGAAATGGTCTCTGGTGAACTGCTCCATGTCATGGGTGATGCTGAAGGAAGAACTGAGAGGTGCAGGATGAAATTTGGATTTTACAAAGCGAGCTGAAATAAATCAGTGGCTCTTGAGTAGTTTCTGATTGG